TACCTTGGAAAAATTCGGCATTCCATGTGTATAATCGCCACAGCTCTCATTGTTTCGAAACGCGATACCCGGCGCTTGCTATAGAGATAGAAATATTACCCTCATCACCACAGGTACTCAGAGGACCGACAAAGTCTGTGTTATGTCTTGGAGAAGGTTATGAGTTGGGATGGCAGCCGGCTGATTTTCAGCCATTGTCTAACGTCAACCCATGACATTTAGGGAGAGCAAGACCGGTTTGACGGTCACGTGGATTTCGCCACGTGACGCGAGTTCAGGTCGAATCGCGAATCAACAGAAACGTGGATCAAAACGGCAAGGCGTATCAGGCCTGGCCTTTCTACCTCAGCGTGTGACACGTTCAGTCCAAATACATATAGTCACAGCGAGCAATCAAAACAGTGCAGTGGAAAAGTGGTAAGCATTGTTTTTCGTACCGTGACTGCCTTGCTGACTGACTGTTAAGTACACCAATCTTGTAGTATACGTTCGAATGCATCGCTTATCCATGCAAGCTATAACAGGCATCAAACATATATATTCGGATGATCTCAAGGCAACCAATATGGATATCATCCAGTTCTTGGCCGATTTAACTCAAGCAGTGGATCTGACTGAAGTTTTTGAGCACTAGGTGATTGGCCCTTTACTTCACCGGTGATTGCTTTGCGTCAGTAGCACCATTGACCATTCACCATTCAAGTAAACATATACAGCAAGCCAGACACGAACCGACGTACTTCATACAGGACAACCTAGATGGTAACACACTACTGATAATGTTGTTAAAAACTCTTTAACAGACCACAACGTCCTTCGCCCTTCTTGGGGCGTAGTCGCGGATTTTCGTTGCTCAACACTAGGTACCTCTTGAACCCAGATTGGACACGATTCACGAACTAAAATCGTTTGAAAACTAACTTGGTTTTACTGCCACAAGTGTTATATTTAGCTGGATTCACTTCAGCCCTCAGTTAAAACAAACTTATTGTGCAATGCGCTGAATCTACAGGGAAGCCCAGTGGCTAGATATTATTAGTTCCAGCAAATGTTCTCCGCAGTTACCACATATGAATCCAATAGTACTTCTTCACTGCAGTTACTCCCTACAGTACTGCAGAGTAGAAAAGATATTCCAAAGACAAGCCTTTTCGTCGTCGCTGGTGTGGTACTAGACGTCATGTCTGATGTTGGCTAATGCGAAATTTAATTGGAATTTGTTTAGAGACACTTGTAAACTCCCTTTTCAGTTTTTTTGACAAATTGGTGTATTACATTCCCTAATATACTTGATTTCCATGCGGCTTCTTCTTAGTTTTACTAGTCCTCATGAATCTGGAGCCTACCCATGGTGTGTACATAAATCATTCACTAGTTGAAACTATGTACTGCTCTCCTCACTAGTCTCTTCACATAGTTTCAGATCTGTTCAACTAAGAAACCAGCTGAAATGACCCTAGCTGAAGAACAACATGTTTTTAATACATTACAAATCAGCGCGTGTCCAGTTGATGTTAGTAAGATAGAGTTTCAGCATCTTTGTCCATGTTGATTAATCGGCGGAAGACCATACCACAACGTCAGAATAGTATCTGATGTGCAATTTCATCTGGACAAAATGTGACTACCATTTCATCGGTTTTCAATGTGTCTTATAACTTGGCTGACAGGAACCTGTATTCTTCTTCTCAAAAGAGGTGGGCTTTTTATTACTAAATAACTATTAGTTTGTATGCAAACCTTTCAATTCTGGCATTCTCATGCCGATCGATAACCATGTGCCATATTCTAGACAGTCCATTTACTTCCGACTGATTGCATGTTTCGAAGCTTTCTATCAGGAAGGTCAGATTCCTGAAAGCAACTTCTGAAAGCCCGGAACCTACTACTCTACCAAAATCTCAACCGGAGAGCCGGAAAGCATCCAGGCTAGTCAATCGTTCAGTCAATTCAGCAAAACCTGATGAATGTTCTTGCCAGCCACAGAAGCGTTCTGGCTTTTCATAGAGGCACGGTCGAGGTTGATGAGCGTGCAATAACGCCTATCAGACAGTCTGGATCAATGTCAGAAAGTTCCCTTTAAATAGCGTGGGGCCGTTGTAACTTTTGCCCTCGCACTCGCTTGTTCGGAATATAGCTGTTGTGTTCCCTTCTGTGGGTCTTTTTTCAGGCACTGGGCACTGGAGCGGGTCAACAGCAGATACCACAGATCGGCAAATCAGCAGATATAACACTTTCACCTGCTCATCACTCGTGTTGGAAAATTTTTGGAAAAACCGCTATTTTGTTCGGCCCCCACTTGGGGGGGGAGGAACCACTAGACCCTAGTTGCACTCTCAGTAGACATCCTCAGGAAGGAATCTTCACGGCTTAACCGGGATTTGAAGTGTCACCATATGGCATGTAATTCG